TTCGGTTTTTTCAAGAGTTTTCTAGGTTTTTGTCAATTTTCCTTCCAGATACATCGGAAAATTTGAAAAAACAGTGAAAACGAGCGAAAAAATTTTGAAAGTTTGAATTCGCGCGTTTTTACTCACCGGGCGGCCTAGAAAAAACCTCGTCCCTAAGGGCTTTCAGCGTATTTTTCGATGCGTTTTTCTCGATGAAAGATTTTTTTTTGAATTTTTTCTTTATTTTTATGTCAATCTACATGCATTTCTGCACATTTTGATGCAATAAAAAATTTCACCGTACACCACCTTTCAAATGTATTAGATCGATTGAGTATAAATGTAATCGAATGGATCAGCCATGGGTAAATGTCCACTACGGAAACATTAGGGAAAGGATAATGAGAATCAAAGAACACACGGAGATTGAAAATGATACTTTCCAGTTGAACGTATCTGGAAAGGTTATTGATTTTGGCCGAAAATTCGGGGGTACAAGGGGGTACAACTGATTTAGGGGTACAAAATTGGTGGTTCGGGGGTACAAAATTCGTGGGTACAAAAATTCGGGGGTACAACGATTCGGGGGTACCAACTATCAATGATTTTGGGGTACAACCCATTTCATTTAGGGGTACAACGCTTGTGATTCGGGGGTACAATTTTTTTGACGAAGTTTCTGAATTCCTGAATTTCAGAGCTTGAAAATCTCTGAATTTTTAGAATTTCAGAACTTTGGAATTTCAGTATTTAGGAATCTGAAAATTTCTGAACTTCAGAATCTGAGAATCTCAGAATCTCAGAATTTCAGAACTTCAAAATCTCAGAATCTCAGAACTTCGGAACTTCAAAATTTCAGAACTTCAGAATCTCAATATTTCTGAATTTTCAATAATTACGGCAGAAATTTTCTTCATTGTCTTCAGAATTCTTAGAATTCCAGAATTCGGAATCTGAGAATTTCGGAACTTCAGAATCTGAGAATTTCCAAATTTAAGAATCTCAGAATTTCAGAACTTTGAAATCAAAGAATTTTAGAACTTCAGAATCTCAGAATTTCAGAACTTTGGAACTTCAGTATTTCGGTATCTGAGAATTTCGAACGACAGAAATTTTTCACTTCTCATTGTCACATTGTTCTTCTTGACAATAAGCTAAACTTGACAAATTTTACAAACTCAGTTTTTTAATGCTTAATTTAAGTTCAAAACCCAGCCGATACTTTCCTCAATGCCAATTTTTTTCAATTCTTTGTTTTTTCAATTCTATTTCAATTCCCTTTGTTTCTCAATATTCCTTCGTCTTTTTCCCAATTTTTCTCAATTTTCCAATTTTTCTCAATTTTCCTCAATTTTCGCGGTAATTTAAATTTTTCTCCTTTTTAAACAATTTTCTATTGTCTATTCAATAAAACGTGGGCGCGCCGCAGGTTGCAAAGTGACACGCCCCTTTATGAAACGCGGGACTAGGGAAGGTTGTAATCGGGGGGTGGAACTTTGGTATGAAACTTATATCATTCGAAAGCTGAGGATGAGACATTTTCAAATCTGTATTCAGATTTTGCTGAGGAGCTACCAGTTTCGAGAAAATCAAGTTTCAAATTTGGCTCAAATTTGACTCTTAAGGGCGCCGCGCCTCCCCTCTTTCTTATATAGATTGGGGGAAGGGAAACAAGCAGCGAGCAGTGGTGTAGTCGCGAGGAGGGGTGTACAGTAGGCGACTAGATGCAGGTTCGAACCCTTTCTCGTCATACTTTTTTTGCGTTTTTTTTTCTGGATTTTCGGACAATTGTAAATGAGTTCTGAAGCAATTTCAAGCAAATTTTTTTAATGGAAGCCAAGTTTCTGATAGCATTGGATTGATTCAAAATTTTTAAAAAGTCATTTTTTTCATCTTTATAAAGTTTATTTATGCGGACATAAATGCTTATCTACTACAATAAAATGGTTAAAACAAATGTATTCTTTGCAACGAGAGCATCGAATAAACTATAGTTCAGGACATCCAGGCTCGTGGCAGGCCTTATCACCGACTTGATCAAAGCAAAACTTTGCTGGAGTCTCAAAACCAGATGAAGAGTCAATAGTAGTATAGTAAGGGAGGATTATAGTACCGTTTCCGTTTTTCACCATTTTTTGAAATCTCCAGATTCCCCCCATATTTCCACACTTTCTCTTCTATTTCCTTGAATTATCAAAACAATTAGCTGAAAAAAGCCATTTTAGGCGAGCATGAAAATCGTACTCCGAGTGCGAAAATAATACCACTTTTCCCATTTTAAAAAACCCCTCCAAATGGAAGGGTTTTAGGCAAGAATTTTTTGAGTTTTCGGAGTAATTTTGATAGGCTTGACATCTCCACCATGTGTTAGTTTTTTTGAATTTAATCTACATTTAGTTGTGTTACACACTACACAGTTTCCCTTGATCATTTGTTTATTATTTTTGGTTAGTATTTCAGATATATTATTCGTATCAGTGAATACTTTACACTTGAAACAGAATATCTCCATTTAATGAAAACAAATAAGTTGAATGAATATTTAAAAAAACGTCATGGTCAGTTCATGACTCACAGCTCTCTTCATATGAGTGTTGTTTGCTCTATTCACGTACGGTCTGATACCTGAATGTTCTATGCTCCTCAAAATACACAAACTGATAAGGCAGCAAGTATTTGTACACCATTTCAGGGCGTTTTCTAGATTGGGGTTGTAGCTCAGTGGTTAGAGCGCTTTTTCAATAAATGATTAACCCATGCGTTGGTTCAAATCCGACTGACTCCATTGAAAGAGCGTTTGAAAATCGTGAATGTTGCTAAGAGTAAAAACTTGAAAAAACAGCAAAATAAAAATTTTTAAAAAGTGGGCAGAAAACTGCACCAGAGAGGACAATTCCCTACTACTGGTGACGTATGAAGATGGAAAGAAGTAAAGGGTTTTTTTAAACATGACAGCCCACCTGTCATAATAGACGTCAGCGGGATGAGGGACAGTGTTTTTTTCTTTTGAAGTTATTCAAAGTTTTTGATGATTTTATCAAGAATTTGCCTAAAACCCTTCCATTTGGAGGGGTTTTTTAAAATGGGAAAAGTGGTATTATTTTCGCACTCGGAGTACGATTTTCATGCTCGCCTAAAATGGCGTTTTTCAGCTAATTGTTTTGATAATTCAAGGAAATAGAAGAGAAAGTGTGGAAATATGGGGGGAATCTGGAGATTTCAAAAAATGGTGAAAAACGGAAACGGTACTATAATCCTCCCTTACTATACTACTGTCAATGTAGCCTGTTTTCTTCCAAGAATACTGCAAAAACGGCTTGAAATAATCTGACGAAATTTGGTGAAAGAGAAGAGAAATCATCAAAATCTCATTATTCCGTTGAGCAATGATGTAATCCGTATGAAAAGCCAAAGCGTACGACATGAACTTTTTGAGTAGATTCTAAAAAAATTTTTGGATATACTGTGTCATCTTTCTGATTGACATACTTTAAATGGCCCAATCCAATGGGCATCCAAAGGCTGAATGAGACCCGTCGTGTGTGGGGGGATGTTCCTGATGGTCACATCAAAACCGGAAGGGATGCATTGATTAATAGAAGTGTGGTCTGTGAAGCTTGGCCAATAATCGATTAGCATGCACATCTTTTTTGGGTTCTCCGGAATAAAAACACATGATTTCAACCAGTCCCTCATCAAATCCTTGGTCATAATGTGGGACTTTCCTGCCCTCACTTCCAGATTTGGACAATTAGGAATCGGACGAGACGGAGGAAAGTCTCCCGAAGGTTCAGCAAGGACCATAAAAAGCTTTGGGTCCCATCGTTCCATCCATAAACAGCATTGGCAAAAAAGTGAAAGAATGTGTCAACGATGATTTCGATTGAATCAATCTTTCGACATTTTTCTCTCCCAAAAACGCCAAACTCCGCGCACCATAAAGTTCCTTCTGTACCCCAGTCTGATCCGAGTTAAAAATCATAGATGGACTGAAAAGCGACATCTCTCTTCGACATACTTTCACAAAATCTTCAGCCTTTTTTTTATCAGTTCCTTATCAACCATGCATTTCCGGGTAACAAATTTGGTGATCTTCCTGCTGACGATTCTACAAATTTTTTCAATAGTTACAAGAAGATGTAGTGTTGTTTTTTGAACCTGTGAGATTTCTTCCATGACGTAATCCAGCTTCCCGAAGCTTTGAATTCTTGAATTTTGGTTTCCTTATTATTGATGCGGAGCGCAAATCTTTGTAAATCAAGATCATGAAGGGAAAATCCTAGAATTTTCAACCTTATAGTAAACTGGACAATTTCAAAATTACCCGTTTTCAATTTGTCTTGGACCACTTCGAACAACCGATTGCTCAAAAATTTCAATAAATCAGTCCGGGTTTCCTTGAATTCATTCTTCTCTTTTTCATATGCTCTCAACTTATCGATGTGTTTCGCATCCGTTATCCACCGGAACCGAGATTTCATTGAATGCAGAGAACGGAAGCCTTTTGTGGTGTTCCGATAGTAGTCAATAGCAGTCTGGGCATCTTGTCTGAACACAGCCTTTTCTCCAAATTTCAACCAGTCAAGAGAAGGAAGAACGAAATCGTCGTAAGGCTGTTAAAAAATTTTGTGAATCCATTATAAAAACAAATATTACCTGAAACTCCTCGGGTTCCCAATCTCCAGATTCTTCATCAATGACTTCTTCTGTTTCCTCGATCATTACATCGCCTTCTTTTGACTGGTCTATGATATTGCATAGCACTCTGGCTAATTTTTTTCTTGTCTCGACACCAAAGGATCATCAGGAATTTGAATAGAATAGTATTTCAGGAGCAAAAAAAAACGTTTGCTACGTTCAAAACCATGTCAAGAAATAAATATGATCAAAAACTGGTGCTTGTCAGCCAAAAAAAAAGCAAAAATTTGCGCCTTCAGAATTAAACCGCGTCTTCAAAATTAGAAAATGCCTTCAGAATTTCAAAAAAGATTCAAAAATTTAAGTCTATCCTTTTTTAAAAATCCTTCTTTCATCCTTCAAAAATCCAGAAAAAACAACGCAAAAAAAGTATGGCGAGAAGGGGTTCAAACCTGCATCTAGTCGCCTACTGTAATCCCAAAAATAAAATTTGCGAGCGATGACGTCATCAGTCCATGGCCGTGGCCGAGCTGCGGGAAAGTTTCGCGAAATTGAGATCTTTTCGCAATTCCCATTTTTCTCCGTTTTCCTTCGTTTTTCATTATTTTTGCTCAAATTTTCGTGGTAATTTATCGAAAAAAAAATCAATTTTATAGTTTTTGTAATGTTCGAACGATTTTCGAAAGAAAATAGCTCATTTTGGCCCAATTTTCGGGATTTTCGAATGTTGTGGGAAATATTTAAATTATGATTGTTTCCTTCAATCAATGATCTAGAAAATCATTTAAAAATGAGAAAATTTTGAATTACCGCGAAAATTGAGGAAAATTAAGAAAAATTGGGAAAAACGGAAAATTGGGAAAATACGAAGGAATATTGAGAAACAAAAGGAAATGAAAAAGAATTATTGTCTATTCAAAATAATCGCGC